AATAAGGGAAACCATGGGACCTATGTTTCTTTGGGCCTGGCTTAATTCACGTAACATAATTTTTTCCAAGTGTTTCCATTTCCTAACAAATGGAGCAATGTCATTCTTTCTGATGGAGCATAGACTTCCATTGTGTATATATACCACATTTTCTTGATCCATTCATCTACTGAGGGGCATCTGGGTTGGTTCCATATCTTAGCTATGGTAAATAATTCTGCAATAATCATAGTCGTGCTGGTAGCTTTAGTGTGGTCTTGTTTGTGATCATGTGGGTAAACACCCAGAATTGGGATTGCTGGGTCATAGGGGAGCTCTATGTGGAGTCTTTTGAGGAACCTCCATACTACCTTCCAAACTGGTTGAACAAGTTTACACTCCCACCAACAATGAAGTAAGCTTTCCTTCTGTCCACATCCACTCCAGCATCTGTTATTATTATAGTTCTTGATTTTAGCCATTCTAACTGGGGTGAGGTGGTATCTCAATGTTGTTTTGATTTGCATTTCTTTTATGGCTAGGGAGGTTGAGCATTTCTTCATGTGTCTATTGGCCATCCATCTTTCCTCTTCAGAGAAGTTTCTGTTTAAGTCTTTAGCTCACTTATTTATTGGGCAGTTGTTTCTTTGAGGATTTGTTATTGGGGGATTTAATATTTGAGTTCCAAGTATATTTTAAATGTGAGACCCTTGTCCGTTGTATGGCTAGTGAAGTTCTTCTCCCAATCCGTAGGCTTTCTATTGATCTTGATATGCATGCTGAGAGCAATAAATTTGCCCCTCAGGACTCCTTTCACTGGGTCCCATAGGTTTCTTTCTGATGTATTTTCATTGAATTGTAGGAACTTTTTAATTTTTCTTTAATTTCTTCTGTAACCCATGTATTGTTCCAAGAATGTTGTTTAATTTCCATATGTTTAAGTTTTATCTACTTTATGCCTTGTTATTGAGAACCAGTTTGATTCCAGTATGGTCAGATAGAATACAGGGTACTATGTCGATCCTCTTGTATTTGCTTAAATTCCTTGTATGAACTAACAAATGATCTATTTGAGAAAAAGTTAGGGAGTTTGCAAGAATAAGACCCTGCTGGTGGGAATGCCTGTAATTCTAGCTACTCAGGAGGCTCACATCTGAGTATTCAGTTTTAAAGCCATCCCAGGCAAGAATGTTCATGAGGATTTTCTGGGGTAGTTCAGCACCACACCCTGCCTCAAGTCTGTGGCTGTTCACCACCTTTGCCAGCATGGGCTGGGCTGAGCTGCTTATGCAAGCCAGTATGGAGAGATGCTGCACCCCACTGCACGTCTGTAGTTGTTCACAGCCGCTGTCGATGCCACTGCTGCTGCCACAACTGATGCACTGCTTGAGCTGCTGCCACTGCCCCAGGATCAGCTGGGCCACATATGCAAGCCACACACTCCACCACGAGTCAGGTGTTAGACACTGCTCTGCCTCTGGCTTGGCTGGGCCGCTTATGTGGGTCAGTATGGAGAGGCACAAACCACCAGGGGTCTGGAGTTGTTCACTGCAGCTGTCTCCACCTTAGCCACCGCTGCCGCCCTGGGCTGGTCTGGGCTGTTCCTGTGGGCTAGTGCCAAGAGGCATCGTGCCCGGAGTCTTGGTGGTTTGCTGCCACTGCCAGTTTCTGCTGCTGCTGCTCCAGGTTAGGCTAGGCTGTTTAAACCAGCAGGACAGAAGTACCACAGTGTGAGTCTAGGGTCATTCACCACTGCTGAAAGCTGCTGCTGTTCCAGACTGGATTGTGCTGCTTGCACCAACCAGGCAGAGGCGCCGTGCCAGGGCCACTGAGGGAAGTCTTCATGCCGGCTCTGCATTTGAGATTTCTGTTTGTATTCTCTGGGTTGGCACTGTACCTTGGGAGTCTTCTGGGAGCCTTGGGATGCTTGCCTGTGTGTGGTCTTTGGAGCGTCAGAGCCAGGATACTTAAGCAGCCTGGCACGAATCCCCACAACTTAAGCTGCTCAGCACAGAGCCCCATCACCAACAAGGGGTGGGGGAAGGGTCTTCCCACTTTACTGTCTGTGTAGGTTTTTCCCTTTTCTTTTATCACTTCCTATATCTCTCTGAGCAATTGCATTTTTTTGGGGGGGAGGGTGTCACTTGGTGAAACAGAGCATTGAAAGCCAAACACTGTTTTTGGTTGGAGAGAGCTGTGGTGTTTCCCTGCTGTTCCATTGCCATCTTGGCCCCTCCTTGTCAGGTGGAATTTTTCTTAGGCGGCAAGTGGGCCTTGGTTACCAAAGGATAGGTACATAAAAGAATATGTTGTAAAGCCAGCAATTTGTAGTTAGACATTTCTGTTAATATAGCCTTCACAAGATTAGGGAACAAAGCGGGTGGTATATCCTAAAGTATTTCAAAGGGATTAAATTCTTTAACATAATGGTTACATCTTGCTTGAAGAAGAGCAAAGTGAAGGAGACTTACGTAGCCATGGCCAGTCTCTGTATTTAATTTAGTTAAAGTTTCCTTTAAGGTCATACTCATTCTTTCTAGTGCCTTGAACTCTGAGGTCTATATATGGATTGTAACTTCCAATTTATTCCTAGGGCATTAGTTAATAATTGAGAACTTAGGCCATGAGTGCAGTGCCAACTTCGGACCCCACACCTAAGGGTAAGTCAAATCAAGGAATTATTACATGCCTCAGCTCAGCCTGAAAAAGTGTCCACTATTATAATAGATACCAATACCCATACTTTCCAGGCTTTACCTCTGTGAAGTCCACTTGCCCAATTCACCATCTGAGGTTCCTCACATGTGAATTCTTTCCATTTGTTCCAGCTTTTCAGCTTTTACCTGTTGGAAATTACCTATACACATTACAAAGGATTGTCAGGCTGAGGCCCCACTGGTTTTCAGATCAGTCTTAGGCAGTAGCCTCGGGCAATTTACCTTGGTGCAAATATCTACATATAAACTGACAGCTTAAGCCTGTATGAATTTTTCCCAAGTTTAGTTTCAAAATTTGCACACTTATTACCACTGTTTTTGCTTCTTCCTTTAATCTTAAGAACTAGTAGCTCTAGAGACCCCGTTGGTTTTAGAGTGGTCTCTCAAGCTACCTAACCAGCTCAGATGTTTCTCTGTATCTTAGGGTCTCTAGTTTCTTTAACTCCTGTATAGTACTCTGAACCTTGGATACTTCTTCCATTTTATTCTCCTCCTTTTCTCTCAAACTTGCTTTCATGATCCCACTCTCCTTCTCAATGTGCTCCTTAACCTGCAAATGTTTTGGCAGGGTCACATGAGAGTTCCTTTGACTGGCCAACTGCTGTTCCTTCTCACAACCCCTTTGCTTGCTCTTCAGCTCCTTCCTTAAGTTCACAAAGGTGCTATTGAGAGGTAAATTTTCCCACCTCCACCTGTTCCATTGGGACATGATATTTCTGCATTACATTTATGGTGAAGATCTCAGCAGTCTTTTTGGCTTTTTACTCTAGTAGTTTCTCTTTCTAGTTTTCCACTTCACTGTATTTTTGTGACAGATCTTTCAACTGTTTGTTTAGCGCTTCTGTTTTTCTTCCCAATGCTCTTTTCCTTTCCCCGGCATTCTTTATCAGACCATGTGGTCCTTTAACTCTTACTGAAGAGTAACAATCTCTTTCTTGAGCCTGATATTTCCTGTTCACTTTTCTTGGTCTCATCTTCTATGACATAACACTTCCTCGTCTTTCTCTATAACTATTCTTATCTTCTTTCTCTGTTGTTTTGAATATCTGGTGACACTCTTCAAAGCTTATAATCAACATGTACTTCAGGCTAATACATTCTTATATCAGGTCCAGCTCTTTTATTATGTCCACTATTTCTTAATGAAGCATCAGTATCTCTTCTTGGCCTCACTTGTGGTTAGCAAGGATGGTAGCATTGCTGTCTTGTGCTTCTGTTGGCCTCTGACCTGTGGTCCCCTAACTTGCCTCATGCTCACCCAGGCTAATGTACTTGAATTTCATTTAATTCTGACTGTTTTCTAGGTTCCTTTTGAGGATTTTCTTCTCATTTTTGACTCTCACAAGTTCGTAATTTATATCTTCAAAGCTTTTCTTCACGTCAATAATTCTCTGGTTTCTCCAGTGTTCTCTTCTATTTGGTTTTAACCTCTTAGTGGGTTTTGTTTAGCACATATTGGAGATTCAGTATTTTATAAACTGTGTTTTGAGATAGAAGTGTGTGAATTTTTTTCTTTGCCACATTTCTTCTTAATTTTATACAGCTGTTTTTAAATTAAACACAGTTGGAATTCAGAGCCTCAAGCTCCTTTGCATGTTTCTCCAGAGATACAATCACATTTTCCAGGTGTTAATGGGATTACATAACCTGTCATTTTCAATCTTTCTCCCCCTTGGACATTCCTTTTTCCAATGTCCATTTTTCTTGCAATAAGCACACTGATCTAGTCCTGGAGGTTCCCTACTGCCATTTGCAAATGAATTGTACTGTCTTTGCCAAGGGTTTCTTGATCCCTATTCTGGTGCTCCTACCAAAACTCAAACTCCCTTCTTACTCTTTTTTTTTCCAGGGTACCTCTGTTGTCAAACACCCACTGGGCAACCACTTCCAACTCAAAATACACCTTTCCCTCAAAACTTTATAACTTTTGAAGCTTTCTTCTAAGATATGTGGCTAACTAACAAAAGCCATATTTAGGGCTCTTTGATTCTCCAAGGCTTCAAGATCTATAGGCTTATAGGTCCTATAGGCTTCTGGGAGAAGTTTCAGAAAAGCATTAGGGTACTCACTGGGGAACTCTCCCATCTCACTCACCTTTCTGGCTTTCCAGCCTCTGCGGTATCACTGCTAACCAAACCTGGCAATAATTGGTAAGCACCTCCATACCTCAATTGCTGTTAGTCTCAGCTTGGATAAATCTGGGGAAAGACTTGATCCAAATGGTCTGGTTCAATAGTGGAGCTACTGTCCGGTCCAGGGACCACATTCAAGTTACTGAGCAGTATTCACTCCCTTTTCTACCAGGTGAAAATCATCTGTAAAGTTTGCTGGCACTCATCCCAGTTGTGCATGTGTGTGAAAATTACTGTCTCTAATGAGGTAATGAGCCCTGGTTGTTTTTTTTTCTGAAAAGGATGGATTTTGCTGTTTCCAGTAATACAGGTCACTAGTTGTAAAGGGACCATATATTAAAAAGGGGACCTGCCCACCATCTCCTCCATGTTCCCGTCTCAAGGGTAATAAGGGTAACATACCATACTGTACCACCTCAGGATGGTACAAGTAACCAAATTTCGCATGGGAGGACTTAACATTAGAGGTGCTGATGGCAAGGAATAGGAGAAAGAGTACATCAGTGCATCTTCCTCTGAGGGATTCTGTAACCCTGGGGGAGAATATTTTTTGGATATGACAAATTTAGGCCTTGTTCTCCCATCCTGAGAAAAGGAGTAAACCGAGGGTCATACAGGACACAGAACTATCAGCATGCACACACAGAACAATAGCCACAGACACTTAACCCACATGCCCCAAATCTCTCAATGTTGACCTCTATAGGAGGTCCCAGATGACAGAGAGGACATTCCAGATTGCCTCTTGAGGAGGTCGCAGATGACCTCTGGAGGATGTCACATATGTCCTCCTTAGGAAGCCCTAGATGACCTCTCATGGATGTTCCAAATGGCTTCCCAAGGAAGTGTCAGATGACTTCCAAAGGAGGTCCCAGATGTCCTCTCAATGAGGCTGAGATTACCTCACCAGTAGCTCCCAGATGGCCACTCAAGGAGGCCACATATGAACTCCAGAGAAGGTTCAAGATAACCCTCTTGAGAAAGCCACAGATGACATCCTATATGGCTTCTCAAGGAAGTTCCAGATGATGTCCGAAGACAGCCATATATTTCTTATCAAGGTAACCTGAGATGACCTCCAAAAGAAGCTCCAGATGACCTCAGGAGGTGGTCCTAGATTGCCTCTTAAGGAAGCCCCAACCCAGATGCCCCTCAGTAGATGAATGGATCAAGAAAATGTAGTATATATACACAATGGAATTCTATGCCTCCACCAAAAAGAATGACTTTGCCCCATTTGTTAGGAAATGGAAAGACTTGGAAAAAATTATATTAAGTGAAGTAAGCCAGGCCCAAAGAAACTTAGGTCCATGGTTTCCCTTATTTCCCAATCACTACTTTTATAGAGGTCTCAGATGACCTCCTGAGGAAGCCCCAAATGACCTCTGGAGAAAGTCCAAGATGGCCCCAGGAGAAGGCTCCAGATGACCTCCAGGGTAGGTCTCAGATGGCTTCTCAAGGAAGTTGCAGATGTAGTCTTGATGAGGTTCCAGATGGCTTCCCAAGGAAGGGCTACATGACCTCTCAAGGAGGTTCCAGATGGCTTCCCAAAGAAGCCCTGCATGACCTCTCAAGGAGTTCCCAGATGGCTTCCCAAGGAAGCAACAGATGACCTCCAGAGGGGATCCCCAATCAGGCTGGCAAGCTTGCCCACACACCCCTAGAGGACCCTAAATGACTTTTTGTCCATGATTCTCCTCCGGAGACAAACACTTGAGGTAGACTCTCAACCCTGAGTGCTGACACTCTCACCTATGAGGATTTTTCCCTGAGGCCAAGGCCTGATGCCATCCAAATGGATTATCTCGATGGGGGTCTCGAAATATTAAGACCTCTATAGTTCAAGAGAATCCATAGAGACACATTTAATATCATAAGTGTTCTCCTAACCACCAACCCCCAAAATTATGAAATCCAAAACTCCAAACATCAAAGGGCCAGCCTTTTTTACCCTTTCTTTTGTCTTTCCACTACAGAACTATACTTCCTTTGAGGTCTTTCCCTTTCTCCCTTCTACCAGTTCCTTCTTCTCTTCAGGCCTCTTCACTCTCCACAGGCCTGAACTGCTTTGAATGGGTCGTCAATTGCCATCCTTTACCTCCTGCCCTCCCTCAACTTCTTCTCCTCCCAGGTCTTTCTCCTTCTGCTATCAAACCACTTCCTTACAGGACTTTTCCCTTTTTCATTCAACCATTCTCTGTATATATATGTGTGTGTGTGTGTGTGTGTGTGTGTGTATATATGTATATATATAGCCTTCTACACATCTATCAATATATATATAGGGCACTACTGTGGCTTGATCACAGGTCCTTAGAACTTCCGGGCAGCTCAGATTGCCAGAGGCTGGTGTGCTAAGACTGTGACCCCATTTATGGATTAGCCATTGTAGGCCATGAGTTGAAATCCCAGCATCGCCAAAAATTTATTCATGTAGGAAGAAACCACTTTCGACACATTTTTTTCCTGAAAAAAAAATCCTGGGTCTCAGTATGATGTATAATCCATATGCAAATATATACTCGTGATAGGATGTAATAAATGAAATGTTATATGTGTAATAATAATAAATAAATAAGGGTAATAAATGTCATACTTACTAAACCCATGTATGTAAACAGTGATCATATATGAATATTATTTTTTCCAGTGCTGTGGCGTCAATTCAGAGCCTGGGAACTGGTCTGAATTTCTTGTCTTCAAGGACCGAGAGCTTCCCCTTCACCCACAATGCCACAGAGTTACCCAGACCCTGAGTTCAAATCCCATGCCAGCCAGAAAAATTCCAAAAAATTCCAAAAAAATTCCATCCAGGGCTTTATTTTATTATGTTTTTTGGCCAAACATGGGTCTTGAACTCAGGTCTTGGCATCTCTGCCACAGCTGAGCTTGGGATCCTAGGACCCAAGTTCAAATCTTGGCATTAGCAAAAAATAAAAATAAAAAGGAGAAAGATAAAACAGAGAAGTTCAAGAAGGTGGTTTTACATTTTTTTGCTTTGCATTGTGATCATCCTGGGTCTAAATGACAAGGCCCAGAATGTGTACATGATCTTACATGCTGATGTTTGGCTGGCTATTATGATAGCCATAGCCGAAACCTCAACTTAAGCCTGGAGGTCAAATCCTGGGACTGCCACTAATGATTGGTGGGAGATTCTAAGAAACGCATTCCAAAATACATCCATACAAATGTTATAAACGTAACAATTAAATTAGTAGTTAGTGTATGAGTATACTATAAAATTATACACAACAACTACACTACATTGACTAATTTTCAATTAATACTTTATTATGTACTCAACCATGATACTTAAAAATGGAAGGAATAATTTTTCAATAATTGGCAATAATATAATTTATGTAATTTAATAATATACACTCATCTTTCTCTTGTTTTATACATATATATATATTTATACATCTACATATATATGTAGACATATATATATATGCCGATCTACACATTTATCTGTTTATACACATCACTCCTGTGGCTCAGTGCTATAGTGATGGCTAGCACATACAAAGTCCTGGATTCGATTCCTCACTACCACATGCACATAAAAATCCGGAAGTTGTGCTGTCGCTCAAGCAGTCGAGCACTAGCTTTGAGCATAAAATCTTAGGGACTGTGTCTAGAGGCTTACTCAAGACCCAGGACGGGCACCAAAAAAGATTGAATGTTGTGACTGTAACTCTATAAGAATAGGACTTCAAATACCTCATCACAGAGCAAGCTGGGTGTCTGATGCTGACAACTGCAATCTAATCTGAATAGCCAGATGTATACCACTGCAACCAAGCGCCATGGAACGAGATACTGCTGGCTTGTTCACCCCTGTCATCCAAGATACACGGGGGCTGAGACCTGACACTGGTGGGTTTAAAATCCAGCCCTGGCAAGATGTCTGTGAAAATCTGAGCTGTGGCTCAAAATGGTAGAGCTCTAGCCTTGAGCAAAAGATCTTAGGATATTACCCCCAACATTTTAGTGCAATCCCTGTGGGTGACTCCCCCCCCAAAAAAATACCCCTCTAAATGATTAGATGTGAACTTTGTGCAGTTTGTGATGTGTTTCTGAAAGAATGGTGATACTGATGAAAGCACCCTAATACTAATGACAGCTTGTGGGATACAGCTATGTGATGAGTCCTTCCTGGGGTTCTGAGTCCCTCACAGGGTGCTGTGTGCTGAATCCTGCACAGGATATGTGCTGAGTCCTTCACCGAGTTCAGTGTGTTGAGTCCTGCATTGGGTGCTGGATGATGAGTCTTTCACAAGATGCTCTTTGCTGAACCCTGTAAAGAGGGTTATGTGGAGGCAGGCACCGGTGGCTCATGCATGTCATCCTAGCTACTCAGGAGGCTGAGATCTGAGGATCGCAGTTCAAAGCCAGCCCGGGCAGGAAAGTCGGTGAAAACCTTATCTCCAATAAACCACAAGAAAACCGGAAGTGGTGCTGTAACTCAAATGGTAGAACACTAGCCTTGAGCTGAAGAGCTGAGGGACAGAGCTCAGGCCAAAAATTCAAGCCTCACTACAGAATAAAAAAGAGTGTTATATGTCTTGTCCATCAAAGGATGTATTCTTTCATCTTGTCCTTGTAAGAACTCCACAACTGAGATGATTATGCAGACAAGAATATTGACACTCAGATATGTCCCCATGGGAGGGGTAAAATTATGTATTACTGAAGACTAGTGAGTTGTTTCCTGCAGACAATTGTTTTGTTTTGTTTTGTTTTTCTCAGTCATGAACCTTGAACTCAGGGCCTAAGCACTGACACTTACCTCTTGGGCTCATGGATAGCACTTCACCACCTGGAGCCAAGGAACCTCTTGCAACAGAGTGTCACGGCCTAGGGTTCTATAGCACAGGTCTGTCATCCTGCCTTCTCAGGAAGCTGAGATCTGAGGATCTGGGTTCCAAACTATCTCAGACACAAAAGGTTCCATGAGACTATTATATCCAATTCACCACTAAGAAACATGAAGTGATAGCTGGGTGCTTATGGTTCATGCTGATCATCCTACCTACTCAGGAGGATGAGATCTGAGGATCATGGCTCAACGCTAGCCTGGGTAGGAAAGCCCTTGAGACACTTAGCTCCAATGAATCACAAGAAAACCAGGAGTGGCTCTGTGGCTCAAGTGGTAGAGCAACAAGATTTGAGCTGAAGAGCTCAGAGACAGCCCCCAGGGCCAGCTTTCCACTCCTCCAACCGACAATAATAAAAAAAAGATAGATACACACTAACAAACTGAAGTAGAGGGCTGGGAATGTGCCTTAGGGGTAGAGTGCTTTGCATATATGATTTCTCAGGACCACATCACTACGAAAAAGCCTAAAGTGCCTCTGTGGTTCAAGAAGGAGAGGGCAATCCTTGTAGAAGAGAAACTAGGTACAGTGCTCATGTCCTGAGTTCAAGCGCCAGGACTAGAATATGCACACACAAACACACACACACACACACACACACACACACACACACTCACACACACACAGAGAAAGCAGAAGTGAAGCTGTGACACAAAATGGTAAAGCACTAGACTTCTGTTCTGAGCTCATTGCCAGCACCCAGGCCCTGTGTTCAACCCCAAAACCTAGTCATCCAGAGCCCAACTAGGAGAGGTCAAAGGTTTCAAAATCAGAAGAGTTTCACCAGCCATAGATGACTGGAAGCTTTGTGATATACAACATGTGCTTGGATTTCCAAAGCTTCCAGAAAACTAGAAAAGGCATCATAGACCCATCATTGCCCTCCGTGGAACATTTCATTAGGTTCAGTGCCCTAGTTGTCTGCCAGAAAGACTCCTGAATTATATTGAGCACTGTATATGAGCCCTGGAATATAGTCTCACAAAGACAAGATGAGTGCACAGAACTTGGCCTGCCATGGGAGTTGGCACAAATGAAGGCTTCCTGTCAAAAAACAGCACTGGGTAGAGAGATAGCTTGTTGTACAAAGAGGACTTTTTCTCCTGACCTTCAGAGCCCGCCCACACTCCTCCTCACTAATTGGCCCAGATGGAGTTGTTTGATACACAGCTCTACAGGAGTGAGGCCTTTTGTGTGCCTGTCCAGGCAATGAAAGAGACTTCTCCCAGCTGGCCTGGGATGCAGAGAAACCCTCAGGCTACACTGGGAGCAATGAGGGGAGCCCTGGAACATGTAATGTCATAAAAGCAATCTCTGTGCTATGAACTCATTGTATTGAATACAAATTTCCTACCTTGGGTGCCATTTATCATAGCTACTCAGGAGCTTCACTTATAGGAATGTATCTATACATACACAAAAACAGGGAGGTGTGCAGGTTCTTTTTGAGGGGACAGGTCCAAGGGTTGAACTATGAGCCTAGGCCTTGTCTCTGAGCTCCTTTTGCTCAAGGGTAGTGCATTAAGGTGGAGTCACAATCCCACTTCTGGATTTTTCTGTGATCTCTTTGAAATAACAGTGCCATGGACTTTCTTATGCTGGCTGGATTCGAACTCAGATTCTCTACATCTTAGCCTCCTAAGGAGCACGGATTACAGTCAGCAGACACTGGCACCTTCTTTCTTTTCTTCTTTGTTTTATAATCTGGACAATCTGACTTCTTAATAGGGTCATTCCAATGGTTTGGATTTATAAGTCAACTACCCAATGTTCTTTATAGCTACGTTCTCTGAAAAGGATTTTCTCTACTCATCATCCCCTCTAGTCACAGGTTTGAAACCAAAAGTGAGAATTGAGTGTCACAAGATTCATGAGAAAATGTCCACAAGACATACCAGTTCTGTCACTTAGCATTGAGATGCACTTAATTTACTGTCTCAGGGTATGAGGACCGAAAGCTGGAACAATCCTCATACTGTCTGCATTGCTCCTTTTGCCTAGAAAGTGATCTAATAATTATGAGTGTTTTGTGTCTCCAAACTTAAGTATCTAGAACACACTAGAATCATCTTCCTGTTTCCGTTTTTTTCTAGTACCTCTCGAGATTTAGATGAAAGATTTGTGTGGAGTGGCTCCTAGGTGAATCCCTGAGGAAAACCACTTGAATCCTCCTCAGGGGATCATGATTGAAAGCCAGCCCTACCAGGAAAGTCTGTGAGACTCTTGTCTCCAATAAACCACCAGAAAACCAGAAGTGGAGCAGTGTCCTAGAGGGTAGAGATCCAGCTTTGAAAGAGAAGGCCAAATAAGAGATACAGGCCAGATCAGTCAGGAAAGCCTGGGAGGCGCTTTTGTTCAGTGAACGACCTGATGGCTGGCAGTGGAGCTGTGGCATTAGTAGAGCCTCAGCCTTGAGCAAAATAGCTGAGGAAAGTATCACACCCTGAGTTTAAGCCATGGGATGGCCACCAAAAATATTTCAAAAAGCAAAGGCCAAGTTTATGTATTAATATCCTACTTACATGTGTATACTACCTCCCTGAGTGCAAACAGGCTGTATGCAATGCTTCTGCTTTTATTTACTGATTTATTTTTCAGATATGCTCATTGCGCCTACTGCATCATTCTGTTCATTTCAACCTCATCATTTTTCTCTTCCCAGATTCCAGGCCTGTGTCCTTATATGATGCATACTAAAGCTCTCAGCAGCCTTTATTTACATTTTATTGAGGCCAATGCAGGAACCCTCACAAATCAGGCAGGGGAAGAGAAGATCAGGGTTCATAGGAATAACCTGTGTT